TTCAAAATACTGGCTTGGAACATATCTTTAAGGTAACTCACAATTTTACTGACCTGGAGTTTGCTAAAGTTTTAAAGCAACTGGAAAGAAAATCACTGTGTAAGTGCCAATTGATTTTAAGTAAGTAAATACAACTGTAAATATATTTATTGTGGAAAGACTCCCTCACGAGGCAGAACACAATATCATCCTGACGTTAATTTAATAAAACATGTTGTTCAAATTGTTTCAGCAAATGAAGCCATATCACCAATAACTTCCAAATCACTCTAGTATTCAGATTTTGAAGATAAGCTAAAAGAAGCAAAAAGCCTGTATCCTTTAGCACATTTATACACTGAAGATAATAATGACTTTCGGAAAAAAAAAAAAAAAAACAGAAATCAGTGAAATGATGCCTCCTACAATTATTATCCTAATGTATTTAAATTTACTTTCAGACTACTGATTCCATTATTTTGGCTTGATAATATCAAAACAGAGCATTTCAGCATTTAATTACCAGTTATTTTGTGCATAGTATGTTTTGATTCTAGTGAAAGCTATTTAGTTCCTTTAGAAGTCATCTTCAAACCTGCAATATTCATCAGGATCAACTGTGCTTTTTGTTATCTTCAATAAAATGCAGTACCTAAAATATCTGATATTAAAAATCAAGACATAAAAGCAACTGAAATACCACTTAGCCCATAAAACTGCTATTTTTTCACAATTTCACCACTGAGATACTTTCACCCCTCACCTCTTTGACATATGTACAAAAACCTTCAGACCAATTTTTCTGTAATTAGAGGCAGAAATAGCATCATCATTCCTTCCATTACAAAAATACTTCAACTTTTATCCAGCTAATCTTTTACAGCTGAGTGTCTTCATAGAAAAGCCCCAATAAACACAGTTCAACATCCTCTAAATGTCAAGAAACAATCAACAGTTTTGTCACACTAATGCTTCCAATATATGGGCCAAACAACTGATAACTTCCTGCAAACATTTGACCAGATTAGAGAAATAGTAAAGATATCATAGTCTTGATGTACTGGTAGAGCTTTACTGCATTATTTAGATATAGTTTCCTTCCATTCTGTCTAACTACTGTGCTTTTCAGCTCCTTAACAGCCCTGTATTGCCTCTTCTGAACATGCTCACAGCTGAGATTGTCCATCTTTGTTTCACACCATGACAACCTTTTTCACTCGCAGATGTGGAGTCCTTTCTGTATTATTATAAGAAACGCAAAGAAGGAATGTGCTTTCTACCTAAGATGGGGAAGGAATGCAAAATACAAAAGCAAAGACTGAAAAAAGCAGGAAAGTCAGGCTCAGGAGGGGTGTGAGTACAGATACCACCTTGTCCAAGCTCCAGTCTGCAAGGAGGATTCATGCCCTACACCTCCCTTGCTGACAGGTTACCCACCAGGGCTTTGCACTGACAGTTCAGTTTTCATACCAAAAGTGTTTGTAGGACATTTGCTCAACTTACTGAAGAAGCTGAGAGGTGTCCACCCACCTGCTATGGGAAAAGAAAGATTTGTCTTACAATTTACACAACTGCAGAGATGGACCCTCTGCTTTTTGTTAAGAAAACAAAAACAAAACAAACAAAAAACCCTGCTTTCTTTCATCCTTACACCCGCTCCTTCCCCTAGGGCAATTTGGCTTTGCCAAACATACCACATCTGACTTCAAATAGAAGTTAAGTTAAAAATGCTTTCAATACTACCGGCCAATAGATAAAGTCAAACTAAAGCTAATTTTAAATTAAAAAGAAAAAGAAACTGCATTTAGCACTTAGATTTAAGTGGTATTCAGTAATTATTGCCTACTTCAAATGAAGAAGCAAATAGAACACAAAATTCTCACAATATTTTAAATATACATCAGTGTTCTTTGCACCTGCTTTACTCAGGCCTAAGACTGCCTAACCTCAACTAAAAAAAAAAAATCAGCACTGTGAGTATGTTTAGCTGAAGACATATACACATCTATTATGGTTTTAGGTGAAAAACTCTCTTACCAGGGCTCTTCACAAGAACATTTTCCTATATACATGAATATAAGAATTTGAGAGAATATCTGCCATTTTATAGATATCATTTTTTTTAAGAAAAAACTAGCTTGAAATATGTGAAGAAACACTTGATTAAATAAATCACTTCCCCTCTTAATATTATACTTAGCAGTGTGTCCAATATAATTACTCATAAGAAATTGCCATATGATTGAATTTTTCTTTTTATCCAAAAAGCATCACCAACATCTGATCTGGATTATTAGAGTTTGGCTCAGTATCTGTAACGGAATTTTCCACAGACACCAAAATAATTTAATACTGAGAAAATTATAAAGAAATAGGATTGTAAGCATATTCTGTTTCTCTAAAACTATACTAGGATAGAAGAAGAAACAAATCAACAAGACAATCATAGTTGTATGAATACAAAAAAGAATCTTGTGCATTTTGGCTAGGTTTTTAAAAAAGTATTTAGTAACATTTTCTATGAATTTTTTTCTCGTTAGATTTTTAAGATAGATAAAAAATAATGCTAGATTATTATCAGAAAATTTTAACACAACAGCATTAGAAAAGACACAGGGTTAGAGGATAAGCCAACAAAGGTGAACAGTGATGACTTTCCAAACAGTCTTGGACACAGAAGAATGGCTGTGAAATTGTTACAAGAAATTGTTACAATGAAATTGTTACAAGAAATACATATATACATATACACACACACATATATAAAACAAAATTAATTGTCCTTTCAGCAAATATTTCTAGAAAAGTAAAACGAAGACTTAACTATGGTAAGTTCCTAAATGCTGGGAATTTATTCCTAGGTTCCAAATCAAGAGGAAAAATACTGAATGAAACAAGTTATTCTAGAAGATTTTAGCAACTCAAAACATCCAGAACTAGTAATACAGGATTTTAGGTCATACACAAAAAAAAACAGAACTTCTGCTTCAGATTTAAGGTCTAAGAATTCAGTGTGAAAAATTACATTTTCTCACATTAGTGAGAAAAGCCTGGCTTTGAGTGCAGTATTGTACAACATCTCAGTAGCATAGGACTAATGGGAAATTATTAATTTGCAGAGTTAATACTGCACAGTACACATATTGGTTTCTTTCTATGTCAGATAAAATTGAACTGTAGATCAGCAACTAAATTAAAGCATACAGAAATTCAGATTAAGGTTGATGAGATATTGTATGACTGAGACAAACAAGATGTCCATTGTTCAAAGTATTAACAAAGGTCAAAAAATAAGAGATGTGCAGGATCACATGTGGAAGAGATATGGAGCAGGAAGCATGGAAAACAGTATAAGTTGAACACACGAATAACTAAAAGAGCTTAATATTTTCAACAAATGGATAACTAATCAAATGAAAAGGGCATGAAAGCCATTTGCAAATGATAATAAGAGAATATGTTGCAATGTGTATTGAAAAAGAGCAGTAGATTTCATCAGGTCTCCTGAAAAGCTGAACTCAGTAATTAACATTGCATACTGTTGACTATCTCTTACAACCCTAAAAGAGCAGGTACTGCAGAAGTAGTTCTACACAACTCCAGATAGTTTCATTAACAAGATGCACAAAGTAAATCTTACCTGAAAAGTTACAATTTAAGCATTTATTTTAAAATAACTTTTCAACATGTTAGTATTAAGATTACTTCCTTTAAATCAACTGCTGTTTTAAAATTTGTTCAGTCCCTTTTAGCAAATGTTTCTGTATCATCACTATTCTTTATCACTTTCTTCTTTGTGAGGCTTAATGATACCTCCTCATACCCAAGCCTCATTTGAAACAATTACAGCCCTTCCCAGACATCTAGTTTAAAGAAAGAACAACAAATGTTACGTCTTCAGTTCTACCCTAGGATTAGTACCCTGAGACATTCCATCACTACATTCCCCTAAAAACTATTACTGGGCAGCTAACTAATTAGCTAAATAGTTCAGCTTTAGCTGCACAATATTCCAGACTCTCCGCCCAGTCTTACCTTTATCAGGAACTTTTTTTAAGGAAACTGACTGAGCTATATCAGGAAGCTCTTCTTTCGTGTGTGTGTGTAGCATAATTTAAAGTATATAAAGCAAAGCAACTACATAAATTGCATCTTTTTCTCCATGAAGAAAACTTTATTTTACTAACAGAGAATAGCTGAGTGAGAATAAGGAAAAGTAAAGCTAGAGAGTTTGAAAATGATATGGCAGAGTGAAATAAAAGATATACAAGTTTAACAAGTTTACAGTCCTTGTGTTTCACTAGATAAATCTGAAGATACATTATACAAATGAACTCATGCTATCATTTGCTTATGACACAAAATATATGCATATATAGTCACATCTTTCTGATGTTAGGAAAAGGACAGTGAACTGTCTGTTTAGTTTGGACTTAGTTAGGACAGGAGCTATCCCTTAGGCAGTTAGAAAGCACATCTGAAGGTTGGCATGGTGCTGGCATCACCGGGATGCCAGGAAGCACCAGCTTGACCCAGCTGGGATAACAGCATTTTTCCTTTGGGGAAAAAAAAAAATCGAGCAGTTTGCCTCCAACAACATTGCACTAAAGGAAATGAAAATCAGAAGATGAGTTTCTCAAGATTGCAATTCACAGCTGAAGCTCTGATTAAAAAAGGTAATGCAGACACATGGTGCTAAAGATAGTTCCACAGTTGTATCAAACTCTGCCAGAAAAATGTTTAGCACCAGGGGTTTTTGGTTTGGTCTTTTTTTTCCCCCCGCAAAACAAGTGGATATTTTCCAGTTCAGTTTATCTCTTGTACCCAGACAGTGGATTTAAACCTGCAAAACTGCCAAGCTGGGTAGTTAGACCAGGGAGGAGGAACATGACAAGACACGCTGTTTCTAGAAGATTTGCAAGTTCACAGCCTTTGAAAATTTAAATTCCTTTCTTTGTATGTGCATTAAAAGGATTGTATGAGCTTTCTAAATATTAGAGAAAGCAAAGCAGGTAACGTACCTCATAGTAACTCCGCACAGCATTACAAAACGCCTCATCTGCTACGATCTGCGTCTCCCCATTCAGAAAGGCCTGGAAACGTTCCTTCAGGATCTGCAGCTGTTGCTTATTGAGCTACAGGCAAAACAGAGAGAGAGGAAAGAAAATAACAATTGCAGTTAGTCTCAAAGTGAAACCCCTCGGCATCAGAGCATTCAGGGGGAAGGTGCAGGCCTGTGGGAGAAGAGGACCCAGGCTCCCCACTGCAGCTCCTCAGAGTCCCGGCTGGGTGACAGACACACCAGGCATCGAAGCACATCTTTGTCTTTCCCTTCCTGCCCTCAAGGTGCTGAGGATAACTTTGCACGTGAAATATTCCTCAGAAGGAGTATCCACACGTACTCAGGACTGGATGGCTGATCCTCACCCTGGCGGTAGCTGCAGCTAACAAAACTTAGTTCCAGCCTTCAAGTATTTCAAATCTTTTCAGCTTTCAACAACAAACAAACAAACCCCGCCGCAAAAAAACACCCTAGTGTATTGCTACCTATAAAGACAAAGAAATAATCTGTGGGAACATCTACTACCCATGTCCACAGCAGTGCCTAATTTAGTTCAGTGAATTACAATGAATTACATTGAATCAATTTACAAAATTTATTGTTATGGGAAGAAGGACAATTATAAAGGTCTCCAGTGATGAGATGCTGGCTTTCTGCCAGCAGTTCATTCACCCTATCCAAATATTTAGTGAAATACTTCTCCTTGTCACATCTGTGTAGTGAAGTTAGAATGGGATACAATGGGGTATCTAAGGAGAGGGCCACCAACATATTGTTACAACAAAGCAACAATCATCAGCAGTTGTTTTGCTTCCCTCAAACTTATTAACTAATGCACAGTTTTTATCACAGTTAATATTTTTTTGGTTTATAGTTAAAAAAAAAAAAAGAAAATGTATACCCAGGAGCCTTTTTGTTGTTGTTCAAAGGGCAAGAAGCTCTTTTTATTTGTAATGGATAAACTGCAATAAATAACATTATTCCAACAGCAACAGTTTACTATGTTCTTCAAGTCCCAAGCAATCCCTAGACAAGAAAAAGCTAATATGAGAGAAATATTTGTGTTTATTTGTATTATGTCTGCACATACACCAAAGGTGCCATCTGTGCACCCATTTTAGACATCCATTCCTTGTGCAGAACCTCACAGGTTAGCTGCTTCTAAGAGAACTCAACCTTCATTCCCAAATATGCAAGACTGCTCTTTCTTTTTACCTGACACATTTCTTCTCTCATTTTGCTAAAGATACTCGAATAGTTATCAGAAAACACAAATCACGAGGGATATTTTCTGCTTTTATTTAAATATAAGCACACGTTTGCTCTTGCAGGGGATTTTATTAAGAGCTTCCATTCTTACAATCAACATCCCATTGCTAGGCAAACAGCTCATTCATTCTACAGAATATTCGTATGTCTGTCACTACAACATATGGGCTTCCTGCCAAAGCAATTATGAAAATGTGTTTCCATGCTTGCAGACTTCATTCTTTAGGTGATTTGCTTGTCTGTTACCCACATATCAAACAAAAACATTATGAATAAGGCAATGAAATAAAAATTTTAATTCTGACTTCCTTGTTTCTAAGTGCTTTAACAAACTGAAATGCCTTTAAAATATTGCTTATATATTCATTATTTCAAGTAGTAGTTCTGAGCATTCACTTGCATTTGAGAATTATTGATCTTTCTTAAATTACTCATGTTTTAGTGTGAAATTTGGATGCGTAAGGGAATAAAGTTCTTCTACAAAACTAAAAAATAGCAACTCCAATGGAAAATGTGAAAGCTACACTTCATACTGTGGACAATTTGAGATCTATTCACAGATCCTGAGCACACAGAGATACAGTTATGCTAACCACCAAAATATAGTTTAATTTACAGTGGTCCACTCCAGCATAACTCCTCTGTTTCGGTATTTTTCAGAACACAGAACATGAATTCTCACTCTCTCACATATTTTACCCTTAATGTTTGTTTTTAATGCATTCATTACCACACTTCAATTTGAAGGCAAGTACCTTAAAAAAAAAAATAGTAGCTTAGAAATACAACCAACAAGAGAGGTCTAATTGCATTAGGATGCCATTGTAGAAAACGGAGAGCCACAATTGTCTGTAGGGAACATATTGAGTCACAGGCACTGCTAACCAACATGACCACTCAACTCCAAGCTAGTTTCAGTTGTCACTCTTGATTAACAAAAGAAGAGATAAGGAGATCGTGGACAACCAGGATCTCACCTGAAGTGCTCAGGGGTGATAAATCTGGACCACGTTTTTTTGTTTTTTTTTTAGCAGAAGTTTACATAAAGGAGCGTAAGTGCATTCTTTGTTCTAGTATCTGTCCTACGTGCATGGATCCTCTACTTGGTGCAAGACCTTCCAGCCCTTTGCATCCTGACTCTCACACAATATTTTAAGACTAGTAGGAAAAGACCTGAGATGCTACACTTTTTTAGTGCTGTTTTTTTGTGTTTTTTTGATGTTGTTGGTTTTTTTTTTTTTTTTAATATTACTACAAGTCCCCAGAAATGTAAGCAGAATGCAGTAACACAGAATGCAGAAACACAGTAACACTTCCATCAAACTGCTTTATTGTTTTAAGGTTTATTTCTAGAATCTATTGCCATTATTTCTCATGATACTTCATAATAACCACCGCTGCTTCATTGCAGAAAAAAATAACTAAATTCAAGCCAGTTAGAATTTCAGTTTAGTAATTCTGCAGTTAAAATATAAGCAAAGGAAACTTTAAGGGGAAAAAAATAACCACCTTATTTTTTTTCTCTTTATTGCAGTCTTGCAACAGATAAAACCTTCTCTTCTCTCCTTTCTTCTTTTCCAAAGGGTAACATTTCTCTTACTTTATATCTGCTAAACTTAGGAGACTATCAAAGAATGAAAATGCATGCTTAAGACAGAATAACCTTTTTGAAGACCTATTAAGTAAAGAATAACTTTGGATTGAGTTGCACTAGTAAATTTTGCTTTTATAATTTAAACACTAATCAAAGTTATCAAAATGTTTTCATGCAGTTAATTATTTAACAGACAAAAAAAAATCTCACTTGCATTTAACACTTCAAAGAGGATAGTCCTATCTTTTTCCCTTTACAGCAGGAAAAGATCTTTTTGACAAAGATTTGCTGTAGATTAAAATTTTTATCACTAATATGACATTACTTAAAAGTCATGCTGACAATATGCTGTAAAAGAAAGGTGGGACATGAAAATGTAGAAGTATTCTTGTTCCACTCATACCTTTCAACAATCTCAACAAATTGCTTTTACACCCAAGGCCTATTTTTATAAGAAGCCTCATTTTAAACTGAGCTGGCAGCTTAGAAGTTCTTCCATCAGCACAGCTTTTACTTTATAATAATAAACAGCAATACTTATAAGGAAACACCACACCTACATGTACTTGTAACAGGAAAACTGCTTATCCCTTTGGTTTGGAAGGGAAAAGAAAAAAACAAAACACCCTTGCTTCAAGGATTAGATGGTAGTTTCAGGGCAGTTTGATCTGTTTGTCACCAGCCATGTGCAGAGCACCTCTCTGTACTGCCCCAATGGCAAAGGCACACTGGGACACATTGGGACACACTGGGTTGTGCATGACCCAGTTCCCAGGGAAAACAGAAAAACAAAGAGCTGGACCTGAAGGAATAACATTCTGAACCATTGCCACCTTGTGGTAATCGGAAAAATATACCAAAAAAACCTAACAACTGCTCATCACAAGCTTTCAAACTCCCAACTGTGGTTCCTGTGAGCTGCAATAAACCTGTGACCTGCCCTAGTAGGAGCAACAATATTGCTTATTCTCTGCTCCAAACTGAAATAAACCTTTCCGTAACATCTCTCGATATTCAAGGAAATTAAAAGAAAGTGATGACTGCAATTATAAGCAGAACCAGATAAAATAGTTTTTATACTGGGTGCAAAAAAATGAGAGTTGAGGAGGAGCTAGCCAAACAGCTGTTCATCAATCTCAGCTGTAATGAACATGAACAACGACTGTTTATAACTACTGCAACTACTATTTAAGACCCTTAACTCTTCCTAAGTAGGTTAGGTTTTAGCTGTTTCAAAACTATGCCATTTTGCCTGCGATCTTCCACTAATTCCCAGCTTCCTACCACCACCTGTAGTGACGGGAATGGCAGAGCTCTGGAAAAGGACACACACACCCATTTCCATCACAGCAACTGGGGGCAGGACATGGAGTCTTTGGTTATAATCCTCTCCTTCCAGCAAAGGAAAATGTCTGTGCTATGTAACCAACTGCTAATGAGCTTAATCTTAATCACTGATGAGAATAAACCTTCAGAGTATATAGCCACATATAGACAGTGACTATATCTCCACTCCCGCCCCCCTTCTCCTCCAGCACCTTATCTCCTCTCCAAGTACTTACATAGAGAAGAACATTAACAGTCTTTCAGAGCAGAAAAGAGATGAAGAATGTTTATTTTTTGGTGAAATACTCAAGAGATTATCTTCTGAAGCAAATAGATAGTATTAGAGAATCTAAGAACTAAAACAAGGTTGATGGTAGTGATTATTGCGCTGAACTATGCAGATCTTCATAGTGTAACACAATGGTTCTATATAAAAAAAGTTATAAAAAACAGTCTATATGATGTTATGTTACGTGGGTGACACACAAGGTATGCTGTCCTTTTCCATTCACTGCTTTAACTACAGTTTGTAAATGGTGGCTCAATATTTTGTTGTCACTTAGCAATCTTAGCTGCTTTTGGCTCTCTACAGCTGAAGTTATTCCAACTTTTTTTTTTGTATTCTCTTTGCTGTCACTCTAATTAGACTATTGTGTGTACATGTTGAATGTGGTATAATTCGGCACCTTACAGAATTGAGTCTTAGATTTACAAAACAATTTAATTATATTTAGCAAAATAATTTCTCATTAACATCATTTTTATAAACAAACAATTCGCACAACACAACCTTTATTTCTTGTTGGCCTGCCAATTGTTTTTTTAAAAAAACAATCATTCTACAATCCATTCGTTGGTAATTCAATTCTGCTTCTAGGATACTTTCTTACAAGTTAGAAATATTTTCTGCACCATTAAGTCTGAAACTTCAAATATTTTCATTGTCCAGAGCAGCATATTCAATATTCTAAGACAGGATTGTGAAATATCTCATGTGGCACAAATGGTTTTGGGGTCGGTCTTCTCTGAGGGGCAGAGAGGACCAGACAGCAAAGGCAATGTGTCACTTAGGGAGGAATTGAGTGCATCTTGAAAGCCAAAATATAAAAATGGAAAGAGTTTTCAAGAAGTACAGATTAACCAATAGACAGAGAAAATAAATATATTTAAAATGAAGTGGGACAAAAAAGTCACACTTCTCAGCTGCTGCACAGAAGTTTTGGATAGGCATCTAGAAAGAAGTAGAAGAAGAAAATGACAAAAAGAAACTATTTAGAAGTTTCTCACACAAATTGTTTATTTGTTGTCCAAACAAATAACTTCTTTTTCTTCTATTGGACAGTGCCACACCAGGAAAGAAGCATCTGTTCTCCATTTGTCCTAAATTGAATAACATATCACATCCTGACAAAAGCTATCTTCTCAGAGATGATGTTGGCAATGCAGCTGCAATCATTTGTCTCTTTTTACCTACTCCTAAGATTTATTATAGGATTTACCTGATGAGGATCTCGAAGTATAGCTGTGGAGACTACAGCAGAGCTGCCTGAACTAATAGAAACATCAGGAAAATAGATGTTCCTCCAAATTACTCGTTTTCGTACACTTTCAACCACAGCTTTCTAGCTTCAGTAGAATTAAATAGGAGCAGACGGTCCACACCATTGAAACACCTTTCAGGTTAACGGCAATAATTTTAAGCTTCAAAACTGTATCTCATTAATTACATTTCCTGAATTCTAACTAACACTAATGTGAAAGAAAACATAGCAAGATTAACAGATAACAGAAATCCACAAAGTCCTTGTCTGTGGAAGAGACATTTACTGCAAATTATATACACAGAAATGCTACACAAAAAATGTGAAGAAACTACATCTGTTATATGAAGTTACTGAGATGAATGTAATTAGAGGAATTATCATATATTCTTGTCCTATGTACTGGATAATGAACACTGTTAGAAAAAGCATTATTGGTACATGGACTATTTTTCCAATCCAAATAATAAACATAAGAACCTGAAGAAGAGATAAGTCCAGGGCTA